GTCACTAGGAGCCCAAGTGGCCTCAGTGGTACAGAGTTCCTTTTGTCAGCTTTGGCTTATTTACCAACTGCAACTTTATCTGGACAGAGACAGCTTTGCAACAGTCACTGTATGAATGTTCTGATAACTTCTGGTTGGATTATTGTAACATGTACATGGGACTGCCTTTGAAAATGGTCTGGAAACTTCAATTAATTCCAAACTGAGCAGCTAGACTGCTCACTGGGACTGGTTGTTACGGAATTTATTATGCCAGTTCTTTACCATTCACACTCTTTTTTGGACACAATTCAAAGTGCTGCTCTTGACCTTTGAAATCATAAAGTCTTAGGACCAGGTTACATGAAAGACATTCTCCCATATGTACCTGTCTGCACTTTAAAAGCTTGTAATGAAGTTCTCTTCTAAGTCACTTCATCAGAGATGAGGTGGACCTCTGCAAGGGGAAGAGCTTCTTCTGAGGTGGTCCATTTATGGAAAACCTCCCCCAGAGAGGCTCAACTGGCCCCCACACTAAAATCATTTCAGTCTCAGGTGAAGACCTTTCTATTTTCCTAGGCTTTTAAATCAGCTTTTAATTATATTTTAATTCCTGTTGTTTTAACTTTTGAATGCTCCCTAGTTTATATGGTGTTTTTATTTTGCATTTTATCGTATAGGTTTTCAGTCAAATTGTATTTTTAAGTGTGTTTTACTGTAAACTGCCCAGACAGCTTCCACTATTGAGTGCTTTAAAATCTTTAATAAATAAAATAAAATCAATTTATTAATTATTCATTTGACCTGCCTTTCCTCAAGCAGTTCCCATCTCTCCTTACATGAACCCTGTAAGGTAGGTTAGGCTATGAATGCCTGTACTAAAGTCATTCAGAGAGCTTTCAAAGCTGAGGGTAAAATTAAAACTGGTCTCCCTGGTCCCAATTCAACACCAAACAGCATTTTTTTTCAACATTCACAAAAATTTAATTGCTTGTGCATCCCTAACAATATTGACTTGGAATAGGATGTATTTAATACCACAGGTGCAAAGCAATTCCCAGAATGGTTGTCTTAAAAAAACCTATACACTCTATTGATTTAACTTACTAATTCATTTAACTTAGAAAGCCCAAGTGCTGGTAACTTGGGAATTAGGTGCATTTTCTTAGAGAAATACTTTTATAGGTTACACATTGGACAGATAATGAGAAGGTTCACATATCAAATTACACCATAAGAAGATTTCTATGCTGCATACATATATTTGTTGTGGCTTGTAGGCTGCATAAATACTGTGCATTCATTGTGGTTTGTAAACTGTAGCTTATGTCTTAGACATAACCCAGGAAGCCAGCCAATTATGGTTTACTCCATTATGATTCAACAAAGCACTGTTTAGCATGATGCGCGAACTAGTTCCGAATGTCAGAAAGAGTGGGAATGTATAGAAACATAAAATGCGATACTTCTTCACAAAATATTTAAAGAATCATGACATTTTTGCTAGCAGCTTCTGCCTTGGCTTAAGCCCTCAATTAAGCTGCATTTAACAAAAACAGAGAAGGAAATGAGGCAACTTCATTTCTGAACAGCACAGCTTAACAAGCAATCTTACATCTCTGGACATTAATCAAATTGAAAATAATTGAATTTACTTTCAGGAAGCGATAGCTGCGGGTTTGTGAGATCAGTGGAACCGATAACCTTTGAGGAAGTCCTTCTAGGTTTGTGACATAAGAGAACAATATGCTGAAAGTGACAAATAAGTAAGAACACATCACCCTTTCCTTCCTCCACATGGAAATTAATTTAGAAACTTCCTAAAGACTGTTTCTTCAGGTTGGAGAGGATGCAGAGCAAAACTGCCTTATGTCGAGCTTTCTCTTTGAGGGGCCATTTCATAGAACTCTATTCCGGACTTGGCTAGCAACTACTATTCAATTTTCTATGATGCCCTGGGATATATGTATTTTTACCCCAAAGAATTGCAGGACACCAACATGGAGGTAGGCAATCCCAGCTGTGCAGTGTTGGCTCCACTGGAGCTCTCACCTCTAGCAGCTGCTGTAGGAAGCTGGATGTCTGATGGGAAATTATAGAATTTGAAGAATTCTGAACTTGTGACCTGGACCCTGTGCACTCAGAGTATAAATTAGGACAGTGTTTCTCAACCTTAGCAACTCTAAGATCTGTGGACTTCAACTCCCAGAATTCCCC